GAAAACATTTCTTTGGGTGTAAATATTACACTGAAAAAAAAATTTATATTTGATTCAAATATTCGGTTACTTGCACTGAAAAAAGGGTTTGATATTGACAACCATACGTTTGGTTGGTATTTAAGCAACCAAAATTTTTTTTTGTTTAATCAACAAAATTTTAATTGTCTCAATTTTTTTCACACAATCAAAATTAGAAAGAAAGGATTTTTGTTGTCCTAACTAAAGTTTTATTATTATGGGACAACCAAAATTTTGTTGATTCAGCAAAAAAAATTTTTGTTTGCTTAAATACCAACCAAATGTTTGGTTGTTAATACCAAATCTTTCTTTCAGTGTGATTATTATATCAAATAAATATTTACTTGAACAAAATAATTTTTATTTTAGACAATTAAATAGTATTTATGTTTCAAATACAGAAATTATTGGTCCAAGTACAATTTATTTAATTTAAATAAAAATTATTTGGTTCAAGTAAATATTTATTTTAATAATATTCAAGTAATCGATTAATTAAAGGAAATAAATTTTTTTCCTCAGTGTAGAAAAGAAAATAAATAAATATAATAAATAATAATCAAAATAAAGTAATTAATATAATAGAGAATAAAGAATTCTAAAAATATCACAGAAAATTAAAAGGCATTAAAATAAGCTGCAACATTTATTATTTTAATCCAATTTTGCTTATTTTAATCCATTTTGGTATTAAAATAAGTAAAATATTGGATTAAAATAATAAGCGTTGCAGCTTATTTTAATGCCTTTTAATTTTCTGTGATTATATTGTCGTTTGTATTCGCGAGAAAAATATTTATTTGATGTAAATAAAAATATATTTGTCTAATAAAATTTTTATTTTAATAAAAAAAATTGTATTTAGCACAAATTAATTTTTTTTTGTAGAGTAAATAAAATTCTCATTTAACTCGAAATTAATTTTTAAACAAATAAATATTTATTTGTTTATCAAATAATTAATATTTGAAATGATATTTATTTCAAATAGAGAAATAAGTGGTTTAAATATACAATTTATTTAATTCAAATAAACTTTATTTGATTCAAGTAAATATTTATTTAATAACTGATTATTTGAATCGAATTTCTTTTTCACTATAATTATATATGGTAGTAAATTTAGTTTTTTTATTAAATTTTTTTTTTCAACAAAAAAAATGATATATTCTCGTATTTAATAATAATAATATTCTTTTAATATTACACCTACATCCTGCCTTCTATTAAGAATATATAGATTAATAGAGACGGTGGTTTTGAAAGTTTTGTTCGCGCAATACTTGTTGCTCCATTAGTCGGTAAATTAATTTTTTAAAAGGAAGTTACAATATCGATAAAGAATTGAAAAGATCTGTTGAATGTCAGGTTTTGAAAGATAGAGAAAGAGAGAAGGAGAGAGAGAGAGAAAGAAAAAAAACTATATAGGCGTGTTCAGTATCGATGAAAATTTCTCGCTTGAAACAATTTTATAACTTCACGCTCTTGCAAGTTGATGTTCTTCAAAAAAAAAAAAAAAAGAAAAAAAAAACCTAGTTTTTCTTTAGGAGAATCATAATTTAACATCTGCACTATTCCTGTTTCCTGGAACCAAGATCTTATTGTAAAATTGTGAGGATGAAAATGTTTGCAAGAAAAAAATGCATTTCCTCTCAGAATAATAAAGTGAAAAGCGTGTTTTCTCGAGTCTCATATTTCTTCAGGTTTATGCAATATGAAGAACATTGAAAACCTTCTCATATATACAGATATATATATATATATATAACTTTACAATTTTACAGTGAATTTGAAAAGCTTTCGAGTTATTACTTTATATTTACTATTGTTTTCAAAATACAATTCACAGGGGATATTAAAAAAAAAAAATTTTGTTTTAATTTTCCATATTGGTTGGATGTTAATAATTTTATTGAAATTTTCCGGAAAATTGAAATATTTTGAAAGAACGTTATTTCGATATTATTTAATAAAGATGAATTGATTACTCTATTACGTGAACTATTGAAGAGAACGAGTGCCATTTTGAATCATTCGTCTCTATTTCTATATAAGAAAGTTTATTACCGTGAAAGACATAACTCTCGAACAAAGCACGAACTGGCATTACTTACACTTTAGCTTATTATCAACTTTCCTCATCATAATAGATGTTCTTTGTGGATACTAAAATTCCGATCTGCGTTCATGATATAACAAGATAAAGAATGTCATCGCGACTTTGTCATTCAACCTCAGTTAGTAAGTAATTTCAAAGTGCAACTCTTTTTTCAAAAAAAAAAAAAAAAAAAACTACATCCTTTTTCCCGTAGGCTGTGATTTAATTTTATACGACTCAGTGATCATCTCTTATATTAATCTGATTTCCGAAGAAATCAGTCACTGAGATGAAAAATAAACTGGAATTTTGTAAAAAAAAAAATTAATTAATTAGAATTTATATTAAAAAAAAAAAAAAATTATTATTTTTAAACCACTGTAGTTTTTTTTCAATTTTAATTAAAATTTTTTTTTTTGTTATTAAATTATTGCAATTTTTAGTATTGATACGAAAAATAAAAATTTTTAAAAATTGTTATTAACTAAGCTGTAATTTATTATTTTTATTTCCAAAAAAAAAAATTTACATTACACCCAGAGGAATGATTTATTTGAACCAAATAAAATATATTTGAGTTAAATAAACGTATATTTGAGTTAAATAAACGTATATTTGTCTCAGAGCCTACTAACTTATTTATTTGGCGTAAATAAAAATTTTATTTGTCATAAATAAATTTTTCTTTGGCCCAAATAAATTTTTTATTTCAATGAAATAAAATATATTTGCAACCAAATAAATGAGTTAGTAGGCTCGGAGACAAATATATATACTATTTCTCTGAGTGTAAAATAATTAAAACTACAGTAGGTTTTTTTTCAATTATTTTATAATTTACAACAAATTTTTTCTCAATTGTTATTAAATTATTGCGACTAATTTTTTTATAGAGGCAATTATATTTAATTGTGTGAACAATTATTATTATCAGAGAAAGTAATTATTCTCGTTGGTCATTAATAGTTATTATAATTATTTTAACTAATTATTATAGACTAATTATTAGTAGAAACAATTTATATTCAATTATACATTTTATTTATTATTATTTATTTACTATTTTTATTTATTTCTTTATTATTATTTATTTATTATTTATTTTTTATATTAAATTTCTTATTTTATAAAAAGTATAAATTAAAATTAAAAATAATTAAAATAATTAATTATTAATTAAATTATTTAATTTCGTTCGAAAAAAATATTTAAAATTATTTTTTATTATTTTTTTTATTGAAAACGGATTATGATAGGAATTTCCTTTAGTTATAATAATGGAAATTTAAATAAATGGAAAGTAAATAAATTCCTCGATTGAAAAAAAAAAGGAAAAAAAAAATATGACGCCCAAAAATTGTATAAGAAAAGAAATTTCCGGCTCGAAGGAGTAATAATAAGGCATTATGTGTATCGAATGAAGTGATCTACTTGTAAGATTAATGTCGAGTTATATGTTAAGTCCCCCTCGCGTTGTAGCGGTATTCTTTTAAAAGTATCATGCTCTACTTTGTCTCAATTTACACGTTGCCCTAAATGGACTTTTAAACATTTTATTTCAAATGTTATTTTTATTCTAATTTTATTTTAATTTTATTTTAAAACCACATTTTTCTAATCTTGTAAAACGGTTAATAATATATACATAAATTATATATAAAGAATTTATGTTTAATTACTAAACTCATTTGTTATGATAATACGAACACATTACATAACCTTAAGAGTAAATATTTACCGAACAATTTACGAGAGGGAAAAGGATTATACATAAGTGAAAAGTATTTTTTTTTTTAAACGTGGTAATAAAAAATTTTTATTTCGTCCATTAAATATATTTTGCTTGAAAAATGCATTTCCAAAAAAAAAAAAGTATTTGCAGACAGAAGCGCCCCTTTCAAAGGGGGGGGGGGTAAAAAACAAAGAAAATTTTTCTTGAAATCGTATATTTATTGAAGCTTTCGACAAAAAAAAAAAAAAAAAAAAAAAAAATACTATAATTTATATCGTACAGTCTTAAAATTATATTTACAGAATTTGTTCAATATAATAATTTCAGGCATTCAGTCATGTTTCAGCGAGTTGAAATATTCTCGCCCATTTGTCGCAAAAAAAATTTTTTTTAAATATCACACAATTTTTTTTTTTACTGTCGTGTTTATTTCAATTTTCAACAATTCGTATTAAAAAAATAATTTTTTAAATTGACGGATAAAAAAAATAGAAAATAAATATTGAATAGCTACTTTACGATATTTTTGCCTGGCGACGTTATAAAAAAAAAATTGAAAAGAATTTTTTCTTAATTAAAAACATACTATTATGCAAGTGTTGTTTTTGACAATCGTGCGAACTTGCATAAATTAAGTGATATCACCGTAAGCGAGATAGCTCGCTCGAAGCTACATATATATATATATTTTTATACATTAGACATTTCTTTAATAAATAATTTTTTTTTTTTATAAATGATCGAAAATTTTCTAAAACGAAAAATATAATTTCGTTTTTTTATAATAATAATCAATCGGACAGTATTAGGCATTTTCACCAATAAATAAAATTTGTTCAAATAAAATTTTTGTTTTTTTTTTTTTTTTGTAACAAATATAAAATTCTTTTGTCGTTACAACATTTTTGGTTTATAAATAAAATATAACATACCTTTTGATAAATAATCCAAACTCGATCAACAATTGCCTAATACTGTCCAAAGATCTAATTCACAGATACATTTTTTTTTTTTTGACAAATAAATAAAATTTTCAAAATCGAAAATACAAAAACATCACAAAAAAAAATCTAGTAATTAAAATCGCGCGCAAAATTAATAAAAAAAAAAAAAAAAATAGTCACTCTGAATCTATCGGGAATGACTTAATTTCATTTTTTTATGATACAAAGCTACACAGTGCTCGTTGTAATCACAATGTACCGCGTACGTTCACTAAAGAACAGCGATTCGAAAAAAAAAAAAAAAAACTACATACACATTCGTAATAATATAATCGCAATCGATAAGCGTGAAATTGCGTTCAAGCTCTCTCACAAGAAAAACGCATAACACACACGGCAGGTCACGGCTACCCCCGCTTTTGGTGCCGTTTATAATACAACACATTCTCTCGTTTATAATATAATGACATTTATACACAAATCGCGAACACCAAATTCAGAAAAAAAAATTACAAAATATATTTACAATTTCGAAAAAAATTAATTATTTACAAAAAAAAGTCACTTTTTTTTTATATACACAGATATTTTTTTTTTTTTTTAGTTTCCAGCTGTTATATATCGAGACTCATATGTGAACAGCAAGTGTTCGTGGTCCGTTGGACATCTGGTTATTGTGTTGCCGTCGTACAGGTGGTGGTTGTCGTCTCGGTGTTGTTCTTTGATTATTTGGCACATCGGGCAATGCAAAACGTAATTTTTCCCAAAATAATTTATCACCCCATTGTAAATATGTATTTGTTTTAAGATAAAGTCTAATATCAGGATCTAAATCACGTTGTGGTACTTCACCAACTAATACCAATATTAAACGTCGTCTTCGATCGCGTAACACTTGATGATGTGCTGATTTAAAATCAAAACGACACCATTCTGATTTAATGAAATTCTCCGATAATACCATTATTGTACGTCGTGATGATTCAACAGCTTGAACAATTGTATCGGCAATAAAATTACCAACAGGAAAATCACGATAATGAAGACAAAGTTTATATGATGGATTACCCATTTCAAGAACTGGTGCCAATTCTTCGGCAACAAATGCCTCATCTTTTGAACTATAGCTAACAAATGCGTCAAATAATTTGTCACGATCATCACGATCAACATCTGCATGACGATAAAATATCCGAACACCAAAGCGCGAATGAAACCAAACCCGAAGTTCGTGTCGAAATACAAAAGCAAGAATGCACGTGATCACGAGAATTAAGAAGCACACAAGTGTACTAACAAGCAATGGAAGATAATCCTGATCACTGAACGATGTTTTTTTTGCAAAATTCCCATACACACTACTATTCTCCATGTTGTTCTCAAGATTCGAGCATATTGTACCATTTGCACTATAGCCAGTTGTTGTTAACAAGGAAAATTCCACTCCATTGTCCTCGATTGGATTATTATCAAAATCAGTTGTTCCATTCGTGTAGCATTCAAGTTCCTTCTCGTCAGTTACAATGACCTTTGGACTTTGTATCCATTTACGAAAATCCTTAAGATAATCACAATCACATGACCATAAATTCTCAGCTAATGTCACTTCAATCGTTAATGGTAATGACCATACGGATAATTTAATCAATCGATTACCATGCAATCGTAATACTTTTAATGACAATAACGATGTGAATGTATTATTTCCTATTATTGACAATCTATTATTTTCAAGATGAAGTATTTTTAATGATTCCAAACCCTCGAACTCGTGGCCTCGCAACTCCCGAATTCCATTGTCCTGTAAATGTAGATCCTCGAGCTCGCGCAAACCATTGAACGATCGATTTTGCACGATCTCGATATTGGAATTGTTGAGAAAAAGGACCTTTAATTTTTTCCTTCCAATGAAGGCGTGACTTGCTATAACACGAAGATCGTTTCCGTCGAGGTAGAGCCGCGTTGCGTCCATTGGTATTTGTTCAGGAAGCTTACCAATGTGACCGGCCCTCGAGCAATCAACGACATTTGCCGACCACGATTGATCATGATAACATGTACAGTTGGTAGGGCAGGTCATTTCACAATCGCAAGCATCAAAATCACAACAATGACACAATACAAGACAATGATCTTCATATTTACAGAGAAATTGTGAATGCGATGCCTCAACAAGTGGTACATATTCATGTTCACGATCATAAAGAAGTTTACAATAAATACTCTCAAGATCCATTACTTGTGGTTGATTACGATTTTCACTTTGATTATTGTTAACTTCCTGTAGCCATTCCATTGAACAATCACAAAGATATTCATTGTCACCAATATAGAATTCAGGTATTTGCTTATCGTATGGAACATTTGTTAAACGAAATGAATAGGGATCCAATTTACTTATACGATTACCCTTGAGATTTACTCGCGTTAAATTGGGTTTCTTTAAAAATGAATAACTCATCACTTGCGTTATTTGATTATCATTAAGTAATAATGTTTCAATACTCATTGGTATTGTTTTTGTTGTTATTTCAGTTAATTTATTTTCACTCGCGTCAAATGTACTTAAATGTAATTGTGTTTCAATATCGAGATTATTCTCCAATACACTTATTTCATTTGAATGAATGTCCAACCATTGTAATCCAGTTGGTATCATTGAATAATCAAATCTTTTCAATTTATTGTCACTGACATTTAACCACACAAGATTAGGTAGAGACGCGAACAAACCACCAATATCCGTGAGTTGATTCCCATCGAGACGAATTGCCTGAAGGTTCAAATTATTATCGAAGGAGCCCGGCTCGATGAACTGTATCCTATTTCTCGATAGATTGAGTATCTTGAGTTCTTTGATCTTATCGAATATACCTTTTGTCAAATTGCCAATATGATTCTCGGTCAAGCGTAATCCGTACAATTGGGATACGTGATCGAATGTGCCGTCTGGTATTTCGTAAATGAGATTTTCCCCAAGATCAAGGGTTCGTAAAGATGGAGTAGCTTTTAGTGCATCGGGAATTTCCGTCAATTGATTGCCATTTAAATGAAGGTCCTGCAATGATGATGCATTACGAAATGAATTTTTATCCAAACTTGTTAAACGATTATTATCCAATGACAATAAACTCAATACATAAAGACCACTTAATGTTGTACCATCAATCATTGTCAATCGATTATCACTCAATACCAATGTATGTAAATTTGATAATGCCGAAAATGTATTATCAACAAGACTTTCAATCAGATTTTCCTGTAATCGAAGAATCTGTAAAGTATACATGTCACGAAAAACCGCTGGCTCAAGACGTGCTATCCGATTGCTCGACAAGTCCAAGTCCACAAGACGTACGAGGCCCCCGAAGGTCGCAGCATTCACCCATTCTGCCGTCAATTCATTTCTCGACAAGTCCAATACCACCAACTGGGTCAATTCACCAAAGAGACCTGGCGGTAATACACTTAATGTATTGTTTCGTAAATAAATTTTATTCACATCACGTGCATCGCTAAATAATTCCGGTGGTAAACTTGCAAGACGATTATTTGCAAGTGTGATAACATTCAATGATGTTAAACCCTCAAATGCACGATCAGCCATTGAAATAATTGAATTTCCACTTAAATCCAAACTATGAAGTCTCGATAATCCAGAAAATGCAGCCGATGGTAATGATTCAATACTATTATTACTTAAATCAAGAATTTTTAAATTCATTGCACAACGACCACGATAACTAAATTGAAAACCATCAACATCGCGTAATCGATTTTTCGCCAATTTTAACACTTCTAAACTACGTAAAGGACACAATAAACCATTAGGTAAACTCCACATATTATTTTCACTTAAATCCAATTTTTCAAGTTTTTGTAAATCCTCAGTAAATGCACGCGATGATATTTCCAATGCCATTGATGACCAATCAGTATTATGTGTTCGCACTGTTAAATTTCTCAATTCTTTTAAACCCTTAAATGCCTCATCAGATAAATTTGCAATTTTACAATATTCAATAATTAAATCACGTAATTCAATCAATGGTCGAAAACTTCCTGCACTCAATGAACTTTGATAAAATAGTGCATCGCTGCACACAAGTTTTAAGCGTACAGTATGCTGCGGTTGAATGACACTAAAATTAGTGTTCTCCAATTCGCTATTAATGGTCCTCAATCGGCAAACAAGCGAAACATCATCAGCTGAATCGCCCGTCGCAACCCATTCGCATTCATCCGGCGCTTTGTACCTCAGGGCCTTGCTTAACGAGGCACCAAGAACACCGAATATTGTTCCCAACAATATCGCAAAGAATGCCGGGCTTCCCAGCATTTTTTTCTTTTTTTTGAAAAATCAAAAAAGAGTCTCTTTGCTCTTTTATCAATCCTCATCAGCCCATTTAAATCACATATTCTGTCTTACACTTTTTTATTTTATCACATAACCACCGCACTTTTGTATAATAGTATTTACACTCCGACATCCTTGTTTTTTTTTTAGAAAACTAAAATTATATACTTGATAAATTGATAATATTCTTGAGAATATTATTTTGATAATAAAAATTCATTGTGAAAACTAGTGGCATGTTGCATTTTGTTAATCCAGGTGATATTTGGGTGATTAAAAAAAAAAAAAAATAATTCAAGGTTCACACACAACTCTCCTGAAAGGAGTCACGGTTCTCCGAGAACTAGTTGTTTCAGTACGTGGCTGGCCCAAGTAGGGCCCCGCTACCAGTAGCTCCTCCCTCGCCTCTCAACCAGCTTCAGTTGCCCTCCCTCCTTAGATTCTCTTTCTCTCTCTCTCTTTTTCCTTTCCCCACCTTTTATAAGACTTTACCCTAAGAACCCAGGCCATCGTTCCGGCAGAGCCTGTAAAAACAAGACACGGATACAATCTTTGGATTCGCGAAGCAGTGGCTCGTTGTGCCTTTGGAACTCTAGAATCTCTGTCGATTTTCTTATCCTTATCGACCTGGTCTCTTTCATCACCTTCTTCTTCTTCTTCTTTTCTCTCTTTTTCTCTCGTGCTTAAATCGTTGCTTTTTTTTATTTTTCTTTATTTATATTTTGTAGCCTTTACTTTTATTATTTTTCATTTTTATCCTTAATTCTTAATTCTCATTTTTATATAAAAAAATTTCCTTCCTTTCCATTTATATTCAATTCTAAATTTTTGATTATTATTAGTGATTTTCCTTATTTTTATTCTTGAATCCTTATTTTCCTATCTGTAATACTTATCCTTTATTTTCTAGTGTTATCTCTAAATTTTTAATCTGTTTCATTAATTCTTACTTTGTCCATCATTCTCCATTTCTATTCTTAATCCTTTATCTTTATTCCTAATATTCTTATCCATCTAGCGTTTTTAATTGCTTTTGTATACTCATGTTCATTCCTAATTCCCTTACCTTTATCCATAATTCTCAATTGTTCTTCTTCATTTTTATCCCTAATTCTTAATTGTTCTTCCTCATTTTTATCCCTAACTCTATATCTTTATCCATTTTTGAACCTAATTATTTATCCTTATCCCTGAATCCAATTTTTTTTGCACCATCCTTAATTGTTCTTCCTAATTTTTTATCCTTAATTCTAATACTTTATCCACTATTTTTAAACCTAATTATTCATCCTTATCCCTAATTCCACTATTTTTTTGCACCCTCCTCAATTGTTCTTCCTAATTTTTATCCCTAACTATATCTTTATCCATTTTTGAACCTAATTATTTATCCTTATCCCTGATTCCAATTTTTTTTTTGCACCATCCTTAATTGTTCTTCCTAATTTTTTATTCTTAATTCTAAGTCTTTATCCATTTTTGAACCTAATTATTTATCCTTATCCCTAATTCCAGTATTTTTTTGTACCATCCTTAATTGTTCTTCCTAATTTTTTATCCTTAATTCTATAACTTAATCCACTATTTTTAAACCTAATTATTCATCCTTATCCCTAATTCCACTATTTTTTTGCTCCATCCTCAATTGTTGTTCCTCATTTTTATCCCTAACTCTATATCTTTATCCATTTTTGAACCTAATTATTTATCCTTATCCCTGATTCCAATTTTTTTTTTGCACCATCCTTAATTGTTCTTCCTAATTTTTTATTCTTAATTCTAAGTCTTTATCCACTATTTTTAATCCTAATTATTCATCCTTATCCCTAATTCCACTATTTTTTTTGCTCCATCCTCAATTGTTCTTCCTCATTTTTATCCCCAACTCTATATCTTTATCCATTTTTGAACCTAATTATTTATCCTTATCCCTGATTCCAATTTTTTTTTGCACCATCCTTAATTGTTCTTCCTAATTTTTTATCCTTAATTCTAAGTCTTTATCCATTTTTGAACCTAATTATTTATCCTTATCCCTAATTCCAGTATTTTTTTGCACCTTCTTCAATTGTTCTTCCTAATTTTTTCCCGTAATTCTACATCTATATCTCTAATTCCCTTATCTTTATACATAATTCTCTATTGTTATCCCCTATTTTCATCCCTTATATTAGGGATAATTTTATCCCTAATCATTTATCCTTATGCCTAATTCCACTATTTTTTTTACACCATCCTCTATTGTTCTTCCTCATTTTTTTTCGTAATTCTATATCTTTATCTCTAATTTCCTTATCTTTATCCATCATTTTCTATCGTTATCCTTTATTTTTATCCCTAATTCTCTAATTCCCTAATTCTTTTATCTCTAATATTATGGATAATTTTATCCCTAATTATTTATTCTTATCCCTAATTCCACTATTTTTTTGTACCATCCTCATTTGTTCTTCCTCATTGTTATCCCTAATTCTTTTTTAAACCTAATTATCCCTAATTCCACAATTTTTTTTTACCATCAATTGTTCTTCCTAATTTTTATCCCTAATTTTCTATCTTCATTCACTATTTTTGAACCTACTTATTCATCCTTATCCCTAATTCCTCTATTTTTTACACCATCTTAAATTGTTCTTCCTAATTTTTCTCCCTAATTCTCAATGTTTATCCACTATTTTTTTTTGCACCATCCTCAATTTTTCTTCTTCATTTTTATCCCTAATTTTCAATCTTTATCCACTATTTTTAATCCTAATTATTTATTCTTATCCCTAATTCCACTATTTTTTCCCCATCCTTAATTGTTTTTCCTTATTTTTATCCCTAATTTTCAGGGATTTCTTCTTCTTCCGTAATCTTTATCTCTAATTCCCTTATATTTATCCATCATTCTCTATTGTTATCCCTTATTTTTATCCCTAATTCTCCACCTTTATTCCTTATTCTTCAATGTTATTCATCATTCCTCATTTTTCCTCCTCATTTTCTATTGTTATCCCTCATTTTTATTTCTAATTCTCTATATTTTTTATTTTTCACAATTATTCTCCATTTCCATCCCTAATTTTTCAGTTCATCCTCTGCTCCCTTCTTTTATCTTTTTCTTACTCCAACATCACATCACGTTCTTCTTAAAAGTGTTTGTACGTTCGCTAATTTTTTTCCCTACTCGAATAATTTTAATTACAATGATAAATCAAATATATATATATATTAAAAGCAAAGGGGAAAGGGGAGGGGGGGATTGAACGAGTTCTATAATCTGGATAAAGATTTTAATTTTTGATGGTTTAATAATCACGTTATCGGCTCTTAGGAGCATTCAAATCACCTATACGCGTGAAATTGATTGCGTTGCGTCAGTATCTTTTTTAAAAGGCGCACAGAGAGATAATATAAATATAAGATATATATATATATATATATATATATATATATACGGAGAGTCAACGCGCGCGCGCGAGAGAGAAGGCTTAAGAACTGGACATTATTAAAGTCCCATTAAATTTTCAAGTTGTAATTCTTGCATCTACCGGTTATAATTCTTACTTAATGAACTTCTAATTTATACTGACTTGATAAATCTTGATATTATGCGGGAGCCACGCGAACTTTTTTTATTTTTATTTTTTTTTTTGTTATTTTGGTTTCTTTCACTCTTCGCTGAAATAATCTTTAAAAATGTAGGATCATTATCTTTCTCATTATATATCCGTTTAAGAGTAAAGAAAAAAATTTAACACGGGCATTATAGTATATATATATATATATATATATATATATATACTCAGCGTATTAGGTGAAAGAATTTTTTTTCGGTGAGTGTGGAAATGCGTAAACATTCCTTTATGCTTTTTTGCAATTAAAAAAAAAAAAGAGTACCATGTATTTTTATTGAAAAATACTTTTTTTCCTGTCGTCTTTTAAACGGTATTTAATTTTTTGTATTTCAATTTTTCTTACCTAAAAAATCTCGATTTTTCATTTTTAATTAAAATTTTCTATTTTCCAAAATAATTTATCTATTATTCATTCATAAACACAGAAATAATATTATAATAATATTAATAATATTAATTATTAAATAATATTAAATATAAAATAATATATAAAATTAAAATTATATGAAAGAAAAATAAAATTAATGTAAAATATTTAGTGTACCTATTTAAAATATTTTCTGAGATAAAAAAAAAATGGAAACGATATTTTTTTTTAGATGTATTAATTTCACGTGATGTCGCACATAAGACAGAGGGGGAGTGAAGAGGGGGGGGGGTGTTATACAATGTTGCAAAACGGTTGGAAGAAACCGACTGTGAAAAAATTTTTGCAACATAGTATTGCAGTTTCTGGTGTCATTAATATAAATCATTGAAATATATTTTTTTTCATATATATATATATATATATATGTGGAGTGTCAGTATGTAGCGAAGTGAGAGCTTGCAAAAGTAACTTCTCCTTTTAATTTGGTATTCGGGGGTCTTTGGTATTCGGGAGATGTAAAAAAAAAAAGAAAAGTAAAAAAAAAATTATTGAAAAGCTCGAGAAGCACGCGTGTACAAAAATCGTAGCCCTCGAAAAAGAGTGAGTGAGGGAGAGAGAGAGAGAGAAAGAGAGTAAAAAGCAAGAGAAGACTTCGCGAGCCGCTTCAAAATTGATTGCGCGGTGTCGCAGTATTTTTGTAGCGATAAAATATATATATATATATATAAAAGAAAACCAGGAAGGTAGTACCGATTTAAAATGTGGACCTGCCAAGTTTTATGCTTCTTTTGCGCTAACGATTTTTGTGACCATTAAAATTTTTATAGCATTCAAAAACTATCGTTTTTATAATATGATAACTCGATATTTTTCATATATACCTTTTTTTTCTAAGGTGTTTTTAATATTAGAACAAAAAAAATATTCACAGATAATTAAAAGGTATTAAAATAAGTTTATTATTTTAATCCAATTTTGCTTATTTTAATCCATTTTGATATTAAAATAAGCAAAATTGCGGATTAAAATAATAAGCGTTGCAGCTTATTTTAATACCTTATAATTTTCTGTGTTAGCACTTGGTAAAATAAACCCTTTTTTTTTTGAATTAAGGAATTTTTTTTCTTTAATTATATTATATTAGTTAAATTCTTTCACTATTCTAGTAAAATCTTTTACTGTTCCAGATAAATTTTTTTTTCCCCTGATAAATTACAATTGTTTGAAATTTATTTTCACAGAAAATTAAAAGGCATTAAAATAAGCGTTGCAGCTTATTTTAATGCCTCTTAATTTTCTGTGTTAATTAAAATTTGTGTTTCGAGTTAAAAACAGTTTTGAGGTTATGTTA